TCTTTCTTTCAACACAAAAATCATGAAAATCCGTCGAGTGGTTGATTCAGAATCGTGAAATAAAAAAACACTGTTTCGTTTTAATATTATAGATGTTGATGTTATTCTTAGTCACTTTGAAGACGTAAACAGGTCACTTTACACCTGTTGTGATTTAAACGGGTGGCCTGGTATTATTAGTACTGATAAAAAAAATACTCATACTGGATAAAATGTAGGCCTATCTATTTTTATTGAAATAACTAAAAGTAAACTCCTTTATATAAATTGTAATGATCAACTACAAAAGTAAAATGTAAACATTGAAAACAATAAACATCTGTCTTGACCTTATTTTTGAAATTATACATATTAACTAAACCATATGTAGTCAAGATAGACTAAAGGATATGACAGTCTTTCCCACTAATTGAGAGAACAATCTGTTCCAACTGGTAGTCTCTAAGGGGATGCGGAATACTATCCCCCGGAAAACTACCCCCCCAGGTGAAACATGACGTCACTAAATCTGGTAACAAACCAATATGGAAGCCGTGTCCGCGACTGGAATACTACCCCCTCTAGACAAATCATGCTATGTAATTTTAATTTTAATTCGAGTAATTCCATTGGATAATAGAAAAGGCATGTGGTGAATATAAAACAGATTTTCAAAATGTTACAGCAAGTTTGATTGGATCTGGACGTGTTCGAGAGTGTGAGGAGTGACACTGTTGATGTCTGGAAGGTCGATTACCAGTTTGTAATTGATAATGCTTAGCTTTATGTGGAACTTTATTCACATCGTCACATACATTGAAATTTGCATTACTATTACTATTGCTATTACTATTGCTTATTACTATTACTATTGTTGGTTATTTGAATGTGAACGTTTAGAAAGTTCCCTGGATTCAATTTTTGATGCATTGAGGGCGATTGCTCTGGTTAGGATTCCTTCAAAAGTAGTTTCAGTTGACTGTAGAATTTATTCTCGTAACCAGTCATCTCGCAAACCTCGAATAAACTGGGCTCCCAGGAAAACTTCGGCAATTGAAACTGTCTGGTCACATGAACACTTGAAAGAAAATTCACACTCAGCAATAACACGTTGTAGGGAAGCCACAAATTCTGTTATTGATTGGTATTCTTTTTGAAATACATTAAGAAAATAGGGATGAGATACTACAACATTCTTCTTAGGAATCAATAACTGCTTGAATGCTGTGATAAGCTCATGCTAGTTTAGACTTTTCATTTGTTTCTTGGGGCCCAGAAAAGAATTAAAATTGTTATAGTGATCACTGCCGATAGAGATGCACAAAACTTGTCCAATCTTATTCGAGTCCGTTAGACCTTTCATGGTGTAAGAGTTTTTAAAGCGTTCTAGGTAACATGACAAATTTTCTTACGTTGGATCATAGTTTTCAAAAGGAGCCACATTTGAGTAGTTGACCCGAGGTATCTCAGTCTGTTGATCATTCTTTTTTTAAGATAGTTTCTAGTAGGTACTTCTTTAATAAATTTGTTCTGGTTTTCTTGCTGTTGTCTTTGTTGTTCTTGAAAGATAGTAAGGAATTGATTAAACTGATCTTCATTCATTTTGAATAGAAAATAATTTGAGCACAACTTCTGAAAAATTTAGTAATCTTACATGTAATAATTCAGTTTTTCCTTTGTCGCCAAATAATTGTTGTGACTCAAATGGATAGCCTGGTATTATTAGTACTGATAAATACTCACACTGGATAAAATGTATCTATTTTAATTGAAATAACTAAAAGTAAACTCCTTTATATAAACTGTAAGGATTAACTACAAAAGTAAAATGTAAACATTGAAAACAATAAACACCTGTCTTGACCTTATTTGAAATTATACATATTAACTAAACCATATGAAGTCAAGATAGACTAAAGGCTTTGACAACACCCAGGCGATGAAACATACTACTAAATAATCAACTTGATTGATAATATTGAAACCTGAATGGGGAACGTAAATCACTCTTTATGTTATAGATCTACAATCAACTAATTTGCCTTCTATAGTTACACATTTAATTTTAGCAAATTTCCCAAATAGCAGCTCCGTCCTTAGGGTGGAGCGGCCGCTCCAGGCCTCGCGCCGGAGAAGGCCTGCCCGGCGAGGCCTACCCGGCGAGGCCTTACTATCGCTAGAAATAAGTTAATGTTTTGGAATGAAAATAAAAAAATAAAGGACAGACAGATACATGTGCCTAAAATATGTCTTATTTATTATGAATTAGCCTATATCAATTGTTGTATCGATTAAAAACCTACGAACGACATTTAAAACACAAAAGAATATCAAACAACGTTTGACAGCTCGGCGGCGTTGACGGAACCCGAGCCTCGCGGCAGCCACCGAGCCACCCCGGTGAATGTGAGTGAGTCATACGCTTACTCTTACTGGTGCCATTAAAGTTCTATTGCATGATTAATTAAGTTCAATTTATTTACAGATGTAAATGTTTACTGGATTGAATGGATAATCAGCGGGTATTTACTCAGGGGAGGTATAAAAGAGCCTACGATGACAGCTGTGGGCTTCTTATTAGCTGAGGGAACGCCAATACCGTAACAATACGGGTTTAAGACATCGGTTTCCGTGGTCTAGTGGTTAGCGTGCCGGGCTGATATGCTAAAGGTACCGGGTTCAAATCCCGCTCGTAACTTTAACATTTTGACTAAGATTTTTTCATTATCAGCAAGTTTGATTGGATTGGTTCGGTTATGGCAGTTTAATTTTATTATTAAGTCATTATAAAATTTTAATTGAGCAATTTCTATTTTTATTTAATAAACAGAATTATTTTTTTATTAGTAAACTTTTGCTATATTATTTCATTATCAGCAAGTTTGGTTAGTTCGGTTAGGTTATGATAGTTTAATTTTATAATTAAAAAAATATTAAAAATAATTGAATTTGAGGCATTTATAATTTTATTTTATGAACAGAACTATTTTTGCGATTAGTAAACCTTCATTGTCAAAGTGCTCTCTACTACAGCGCTGTTCACGGAGGAATTTTGAACTAATGCCTCATTTGTACTTCCCCTAATCAGCGTGGATAAGACTGACTGTAAACTACTCGCATTTCGCAATAAACATAAACCTATAACAATATTTTTCATTAAAGTAAAAAGTAACACTGTGAATCAATTACACTGTAATGATACTACCTCTTTTAATTTATTATTAAAAACTCATTGACAATTAGGTAATATTTTTTTACCTTTAAACCCCCCATTACAGACCAACTGACGAAAACACAATAAACCTATATTGACAAAAAGTACATAAACAAGTTAGCCTATGAGCATTTACTATTTACAAAGTGACGGGACGACAATCCACAGTGAAGAGAAGTGTTCATTTTTTATTAATTATTGTAAAGAACTTCGTGGACAATATTTATGATATTCACTTTGGAATTGGAACAATAATATGTGCAATTAGCTATGATATTAACGGCCATTTACAGAGTGTAAAAGAAATGACGAATTTGCAAGTATCTCATTGACAATTATTTATGTAATATTTTTTTAACTTTAAAACACCCTTCACAGACCAACTGCCGAAAACACAATAAACCTAACTTGACAAAAAAATAAATAAACAAGATAGCCTAAGCATTTACTATTAATTATTGTCATCCCGCCACTTTGTTTAATTTACAAAGTGTTAATTCAATTCACAATCCACAGTAAAGGAGAAGTGTTAATTTTTTTTATTAATGATTGTAAAGAATTTCGTGTGCAATATTTATGATATCCACTTTGGAATTGGAACAATAATATGTGTAATTAGCAATAATATTCACGCCCATTTTCAGAGTGTAAAATATTAATTTTTTTTCGTCAAAGTACTTAAAATGACGACTTTACAAGTATAATTTTACAAAAATTTTCCGGGGGGGACCCCCAGACCCCCCCCTCAGCTGGGGGATACTTCGTACCACCCAGATCCCCCGGTGAGCTTGGTTAAACAAGGCCTCGCAATTTTATAAAGACGGCTCTGCCAAATAGGCAAATAGGGAATAAGCTATTACCATAGGTCTCATGGTAAGACCTACACCCGTTAACACGATAATTCGATCAAATATGATGTGATTACAAGTTATCTTTATTCACCTTATAACAGTCCTAATAACAAAATTTTGAAAGGTAAAAGGAAATGGTATTGCATTACAGTAGACCCTCTCTTAACCGACCTCGTATTAACCGATAATTGGATTATCCGCCTTCCATCGTAAAATATCACAGTTTGTTTTAACCGACCTTGCTTTGAGAGCAGTTCGGCTTAACCGCCGCTTTCTAGGAATCTCGGCATTTCCGCTCCCACGCTGGGCGATGAGAACCAAACCATACGCTTATCTCCACAGGATGTGACTAAGAATAAATTATTTTGCATTGATCACAGAAAATATAGCATATTGTCAGTTTGACATCATCGTTTATAGTGCGAGCACATCCTGATCTGATTTGTTATCTGTGCGGCAAATTTATAAAATCGTAAAGTGCGTTACGATTTTGAGAACTGATTATCATATCGCTAGAGTAAACAAACAATGCAACTTGTAGGGAGGGCAGGGAAGGGGGGTTAGAACTAAAGTTATTAAAATAGGAATTTTTATTGACTCTTGCCTAGTACTATAATCTATTCCACTTAAAGTAGGCCTATTTGACTTAACGGTGTTTAGTGTTTTTATGACTTTTCTATCAATAGGAAAAAAAAGGAGATAAGAGTAGTTTATCACAAGCACTTCAAAATAATGATTATATAATTCAAAATTTATAACACTTAATTATGTTATGATTTTAGGGATTGCCCGTTTTAACCGACCTTTTGAGTTATCCGACCTAGGTCCGGTCCCATTAGGGTCGGTTAAGAGGGGGTCTACTGTATACGTTTTGTCTAGGAAACGAGTCTTGAACTCTATTAAAAATCGCAATTTGCTAATCACCTTGTTAAGTCCTATTTTTTTAACTTAATTACCTTAATTCCAGAAGCAACAGCTGCTTGGTTATTTTCTGAGTGTTTTCTGCCGATCCCTAACTTGTTCAATTTACTCAATTGTTGAGACATATTTGACAATGCTTTTGTTCCTGAAATAGTAAAACATAAAAATTATTGTTTTTGTGCCCGTTTTTTTAACTAAATTTAGAGTTAACTAATTAACTTAGCAAGTCAAGTAAAATACAAATACGCTTATCTGTTCACACTAGTACAGTATTAGTTCTTTTTTTTGGAAATACACACTATCAGTGATGGATATGGGAGTGTTGCACGACAACACAATGGTATAATTCAGTGTCACAACGTCTAAAATATAATTTTTGAGCCGTCTCATGACGACCAAGACCACTATTCAACTGTAGCAACTGTCCAAAGACCAAAAGTACAGTAACTGCAATAAACATAGTCTTTCTGCAAGCTTTGGACGTCATGGGATTGGTCGTCGTGCAACAGAGTACTTTATACTCTTAAAAACTAACAAGTAGCACCACATCCAAAGCCGCTGCCAGTTGTACGACGTCCAGAGCTCCTGCATACTGAGCAAGGTTAAGTTAGCTTAGGTTCGGTTTAGGTTAGTATGCACTAGAGGCGGTAAAACAGTACTCACAATGTGCAGGCGCTCTGGACGTTGTGGGATAGCACTGAGCTATTGGACGTGGTGCAACTGGCAGCGGCTTTGGACGTGGTGCAACTGCTACTTTTTTAAGAGTAGTGCGCTGTTTCACAACGACCCATCTCATGACGTCCAGAGCTTGTAGAAAGACTATGTTAATTGCAGTTACTGTACTTTTTTGGACATGGTGAGATTTGGACGTCGTGCAAAAGTCAAATATTTTACATTGGACGGACGTCTTGACAACTCAAACATTATTAACAGCTCAAAAATTGTATTTTGGTGTCCTGACACTGACTTATATCATTGGACGTCGTAGCACTTGGATGTCGTTCAACACTACTGATGGTTATTACTGCCTAAAATCATGCTTCAATTAATGTTGCTTAATGTATGAAATCACATGTTTAAATAAATACTTTTGTTTACAGTTGATTGTTTTTGTTAAGATTTTTAATTAAAATGAATTTAATTATTGTGTTTGATTCAAAGGTTATTTTTACATATTTAACAATGGTGACGAGGAATGGAATACTAAAAACACTACCCAGCTAAAATAAATCCAAACATTTATTTGAAGCCTTAACACACCTGCACTCTTAATGTTATTCAGCTGAGTTTCTGACACATTACGAGGTAAAGAACCTGTAGGAACTGAGAGACAGTCACTGTGGTGAGTCCAAGATGGTTGTAATGTGGATTTGCGCTGCAGCTTTTCACACAGCTTGATAGGAGCTGGTGCCAGCCCTGCCACTTCCATCCCTACAGCCAATGTCTCAGCCACAGCCCTTAGTGACTCTAAAACCCACACAATATAGTAAACTTGAGCTGCAGCATATTTCCCAGATTAAGGGGGCATCATATGCCCTATGGTCACAACGTAAAATTAGCAACTTTAATGTCCCATTTGCTTATAACCCACTAGAGCTATCAACCTGCATTTTTTTTAAGGTTATAATTCATGCTTTTATATACAACTGGAACCAAAATTATTTACTTTCAATAAAATTTTTATGTATAAATATTTTTTCAAAAACATACTTTAAATTTCACTTTTTGTGTGTATAAATGGCAGTAAAATTTAAAATTTTCCTTAGGTAGACTATATTAACACTTTTACCGAAACCCCGGTCTGACAGGCCCACAAGAATGGTCACAAACGCATGTTGGCAACACTGTTTACTTGGGGGATTCTATTCCCCCAATACCTTCCACCTTTTCCTCCCCTACCACATGTAACTTTTAGCGTGCGATTCCCGCTAATCAGTTTTTTAACATTTTTAACTACTAAATTTGATATATCTTCAAAACAGTTTATGCTACATGATTCAAATTTTTACCAAGTGTTTAGAATGTTATTATCTAAATAATTAGGTAGAATTGATAATGTATGTATATTCTAAAGTAAAAAAATATTTTTTTATTTCCACAGAAAACCAATTTCTTTTTTTAAAATTACAGAATGACCCATAAAAAAGTAATAAATCAAGATACTGTTATAATTCTACCTTAATATTTAGAAGGCATTATTCCCTGCAAACTGATGATTAATGATTAAAATAAAATAATTAGAACTGAAGTTATATCAAATTTGGTTAATTACCTAAAAAAAACTAAAAAAAATATTAAGGGTGTACTTAACGAAAAAATGTACTTTTAACTATGTTTATACCTATTCTTTATGCCTATAAAACACATGGTATAAGTTTGAAAGATCTAGTGATAATGTTAAGGAAGTTAGCATTTTCACTGCCATATCCCCTTAAGACACTAAACTCAAACTACTTTTTTACTCTGATCATAGTAACTGAACTAGAACTATTTGAGGTTATGAATAGAAACATTTGCCATTTTATGTAAAAAAAAAAAAAACATTATTTTACTAGATCAGAGCTTTAGTCCAGGACCTGACTAGGGTTCTGTGTGCATGTCGTGTATAGAGAATTTTGCTTTTGCATTTCAATATAGGTGTCTTAGGAAGTGTTTTCCACTCGGGTGTCAAGTTCGCACCTGGTACGTTTACGAGCTATGACGTCATCAAAATGGCGGCCATTGATTTTTTTTAATCGTATATTTCGCAAACTATTTGTCGGATCGGAATGATTTTTTTTTTGTTGGAAAGATAATTTTAAATGCTACCTGTTTTACATTTACACATTTGTTGTATGTTTAGTACATTCTTCGTAATTTTGCAAAAACCGGTATTTTTAAATATTTTTGAGTTATTTTTGTTTGTAACGTTTTATTGATACAATTTATCAAAAACCACCAATGAAAAAAGTTGTAGAACGTTTAAAAATCTTTACAAAAATACCAAATTCGATATGTTTTACTCAAATGATTACGTCAAGAAACTAGATAAATCTCATAAAAACACCAATTTTGGCGCAAAAACGCCTATTAGTCCGGCATCTAGGGCAGTTCGCAAGTCTTATAAAGACAGTTTCGCCATTCAATGTTGATGTATGTGTCTAAATAAGTGTTTTAAACTCGGGTGTCACGTCTGCACCCACTGCAGTTTCCGGTTATGACGTCATTAAAATGGCGGAAAGGGCTATATTAAAAATAACGATATTTTACATACCATGTATCGGATCGGAATAAACTTTTTTTTGTTTGAAAGAAAAGTTTACATGCTATCTTTCTTACATTTGCACTTTTGTTTTATGTTTAGTACATTTTTCGTAATTTTGCAAAAACCTATATTTTTAAACATTTTTGTGTTATTTTTGTCGATAACGTTTTATTGATACAATATATCAGAAATAACTTAAAGACAAAGTTGTAGCACGTTAAAAGAGCTTTACAAAAATACCAAAATCGATATGCTTTACTTAAAAGATCACGTCAAGAAACTAGAAAATCGTACAAAACAACCTAATTTTGCGCAAAAACGCATATACATCCGACATCGATGACTGTGTACGAGTCATATATAGACAGTTTTACCATTCAATGTTGATGTATGTGTCTAAAGAAGTGTTTTTAACTCGGGTGTCACGTCTGGACCCACTGCAGTTTCCGGTTATGATGTCTTTAAAATTGCTACATGTTAATTTACTCAACAACTCAAACAATGTTAATTTAATAGATTAATTGAAAATCAATCCAGGCAAATGGAAATTCGCTTAGTCGAAAGGATTGCTGCAACGGGGGTATTTATATAGTGGAAACATTCCTATGGACTAATTACATTGATTTGTTGTGCTTTTATTTGCATAAAAGAGGGTAATGGTCTTATTTTAAGTAAAATAGCTGGTGAAATCGTAACATGTAGCAATTTTAAAGACATCATAACCGGAAACTGCAGTGGGTCCAGACGTGACACCCGAGTTAAAAACACTTCTTTAGACACATACATCAACATTGAATGGTAAAACTGTCTATATATGACTCGTACACAGCCATCGATGTCGGATTTATATGCGTTTTTGCGCAAAATTAGGTTGTTTTGTACGATTTTCTAGTTTCTTGACGTGATCTTTTAAGTAAAGCATATCGATTTTGGTATTTTTGTAAAGCTCTTTTAACGTGCTACAACTTTGTCTTTAAGTTATTTCTGATATATTGTATCAATAAAACGTTATCGACAAAAATAACACAAAAATGTTTAAAAATATAGGTTTTTGCAAAATTACGAAAAATGTACTAAACATAAAACAAAAGTGCAAATGTAAGAAAGATAGCATGTAAACTTTTCTTTCAAACAAAAAAAAGTTCATTCCGATCCGATACATGGTGTGTAATATATAGTTATTTTTAATTTAGCCCTTTCCGCCATTTTAATGACGTCATAACCGGAAACTGCAGTGGGTGCAGACGTGACACCCGAGTTGAAAACACTTATTTAGACACATACATCAACATTGAATGGTGAAACTGTCTTTATAAGACTTGCGAACTGCCCTAGATGCCGGACTAATAGGCGTTTTTGCGCCAAAATTGGTGTTTTTATGAGACTTATCTAGTTTCTTGACGTAATCTGTTGAGTAAAACATATCGAATTTGGTATTTTTGTAAAGATTTTTAAATGTTCTACAACTTTTTTCATTGGTGGTTTTTGATAAATTGTATCAATAAAACGTTACAAACAAAAATAACTCAAAAATATTTAAAAATACAGGTTTTTGCAATATTACGAAGAATGTACTAAACATACAACAAATGTGTAAATATAAAACAGGTAGCATTTAAAATTATCTTTCAAACAAACAAAAATTCATTCCGATCCGACAAATAGTTTGCGAAATATACGAATTAAAAAAATCAATGGCCGCCATTTTGATGACGTCATAGCTCGAAAACGTACCAGGTGCGAACTTGACACCCGAGTGGAAAACACTTCCTAAGACACCTATATTGAAATGCAAAAGCAAAATTCTCTATACACGACATGCACACAGAACCCTAGTCAGGTCCTGGACTACTTAGCATAAATTGATTTAGCCTAAAACTAAGATATTTATAACAGATATTTACAAGATATAACAAGATATTTAGAAGAAAGTAATGGAACCGTTTTAAAGTCCTTGTGTGTACAAACATTAATCATATTATAGAATAAGAGAAAGTTATTCTGAAGGTTATTTATTCCAAATTTTCTTTTTTCTTTCAATAATTGGTAAATTCTTGATTCTGATCAAGGGTATATTACCAATTATGAAATTTAAAATATCACAATACATATGACTTATTCTAGGTTAAGTAACTATTTGAATCTTCAGATGTATCCATTACTATCAAGCCAGGCTCAAACACTTAAATGTTGGTTAAATGATTTGAACTTTACAATATTTGATTAAACCTATTGAACACTAAAAAGCATTATAAGTAAACCAGTAACCCACCAGTCATCTCTTCCTCCGTTTTAATCAATACAGCAACATTGTTAAAGAAGCGCAGATTAGTTGAACGGAAAGTGTGGCAGTATCCCGACTGACCAGCCACAGAGTAGTTAAGTCTCAGGCAGTAGTGGCCTCTTGTATTCTTTGACTGTAACATCAGATAGTAGATTAGTTGAGCGGATAGTGTGGCAGTATTCCGACTGACCAGCCACAGAGTAGTTAAGTCTCAGGCAGTAGTGGCCTCTTGTATTCTTTGACTGTAACATCAGATAGTAGATTAGTTTAGCGGAAAGTGTGGCAGTATCCCGACTGACCAGCCACAGAGTAGTTAAGTCTCAGGCAGTAGTGGCCTCTTGTATTCTTTGACTGTAACATCAGATAGTAGATTAGTTTAGCGGAAAGTGTGGCAGTATTCCGACTGACCAGCCACAGAGTAGTTAAGTCTCAGGCAGTAGTGGCCTCTTGTATTCTTTGACTGTAACATCAGATAATAGATTAGTTCAGCGGAAAGTGTGGCAGTATTCCGACTGACCAGCCACAGAGTAGTTAAGTCTCAGGCAGTAGTGGCCTCTTGTATTCTTTGACTGTAACATCAGATAGTAGATTAGTTTAGCGGAAAGTGTGGCAGTATTCCGACTGACCAGCCACAGAGTAGTTAAGTCTCAGGCAGTAGTGGCCTCTTGTATTCTTTGACTGTAACATCAGATAGTAGATTAGTTGAGCGGATAGTGTGGCAGTATTCCGACTGACCAGCCACAGAGTAGTTAAGTCTCAGGCAGTAGTGGCCTCTTGTATTCTTTGACTGTAACATCAGATAGTAGATTAGTTGAGCGGATAGTGTGGCAGTATTCCGACTGACCAGCCACAGAGTAGTTAAGGCTCAGGCAGTAGTGGCCTCTTGTATTCTTTGACTGTAACATCAGATAGTAGATTAGTTGAGCGGATAGTGTGGCAGTATTCCGACTGACCAGCCACAGAGTAGTTAAGTCTCAGGCAGTAGTGGCCTCTTGTATTCTTTGACTGTAACATCAGATAGTAGATTAGTTTAGCGGAAAGTGTGGCAGTATCCCGACTGACCAGCCACAGAGTAGTTAAGTCTCAGGCAGTAGTGGCCTCTTGTATTCTTTGACTGTAACATCAGATAGTAGATTAGTTTAGCGGAAAGTGTGGCAGTATTCCGACTGACCAGCCACAGAGTAGTTAAGTCTCAGGCAGTAGTGGCCTCTTGTATTCTTTGACTGTAACATCAGATAGTAGATTAGTTTAGCGGAAAGTGTGGCAGTATTCCGACTGACCAGCCACAGAGTAGTTAAGTCTCAGGCAGTAGTGGCCTCTTGTATTCTTTGACTGTAACATCAGATAGTAGATTAGTTTAGCGGAAAGTGTGGCAGTATCCCGACTGACCAGCCACAGAGTAGTTAAGTCTCAGGCAGTAGTGGCCTCTTGTATTCTTTGACTGTAACATCAGATAGTAGATTAGTTTAGCGGAAAGTGTGGCAGTATTCCGACTGACCAGCCACAGAGTAGTTAAGTCTCAGGCAGTAGTGGCCTCTTGTATTCTTTGACTGTAACATCAGATAGTAGATTAGTTGAGCGGAAAGTGTGGCAGTATTCCGACTGACCAGCCACAGAGTAGTTAAGTCTCAGGCAGTAGTGGCCTCTTGTATTCTTTGACTGTAACATCAGATAGTAGATTAGTTGAGCGGATAGTGTGGCAGTATTCCGACTGACCAGCCACAGAGTAGTTAAGTCTCAGGCAGTAGTGGCCTCTTGTATTCTTTGACTGTAACATCAGATAGTAGATTAGTTGAGCGGAAAGTGTGGCAGTATTCCGACTGACCAGCCACAGAGTAGTTAAGTCTCAGGCAGTAGTGGCCTCTTGTATTCTTTGACTGTAACATCAGATAGTAGATTAGTTGAGCGGATAGTGTGGCAGTATTCCGACTGACCAGCCACAGAGTAGTTAAGTCTCAGGCAGTAGTGGCCTCTTGTATTCTTTGACTGTAACATCAGATAGTAGATTAGTTTAGTGGAAAGTGTGGCAGTATTCCGACTGACCAGCCACAGAGTAGTTAAGTCTCAGGCAGTAGTGGCCTCTTGTATTCTTTGACTGTAACATCAGATAGTAGATTAGTTTAGCGGAAAGTGTGGCAGTATTCCGACTGACCAGCCACAGAGTAGTTAAGTCTCAGGCAGTAGTGGCCTCTTGTATTCTTTGACTGTAACATCAGATAGTAGATTAGTTTAGCGGAAAGTGTGGCAGTATTCCGACTGACCAGCCACAGAGTAGTTAAGTCTCAGGCAGTAGTGGCCTCTTGTATTCTTTGACTGTAACATCAGATAGTAGATTAGTTTAGCGGAAAGTGTGGCAGTATCCCGACTGACCAGCCACAGAGTAGTTAAGTCTCAGGCAGTAGTGGCCTCTTGTATTCTTTGACTGTAACATCAGATAGTAGATTAGTTTAGCGGAAAGTGTGGCAGTATTCCGACTGACCAGCCACAGAGTAGTTAAGTCTCAGGCAGTAGTGGCCTCTTGTATTCTTTGACTGTAACATCAGATAGTAGATTAGTTTAGCGGAAAGTGTGGCAGTATTCCGACTGACCAGCCACAGAGTAGTTAAGTCTCAGGCAGTAGTGGCCTCTTGTATTCTTTGACTGTAACATCAGATAGTAGATTAGTTGAGCGGATAGTGTGGCAGTATCCCGACTGACCAGCCACAGAGTAGTTAAGTCTCAGGCAGTAGTGGCCTCTTGTATTCTTTGACTGTAACATCAGATAGTAGATTAGATTAGCGGAAAGTGTGGCAGTATTCCGACTGACCAGCCACAGAGTAGTTAAGTCTCAGGCAGTAGTGGCCTCTTGTATTCTTTGACTGTAACATCAGATAGTAGATTAGTTTAGTGGAAAGTGTGGCAGTATTCTGACTGACCAGCCACAGAGTAGTTAAGTCTCAGGCAGTAGTGGCCTCTTGTATTCTTTGTCTGTAACATCAGATAGTAGATTAGTTGAGCGGATAGTGTGGCAGTATCCCGACTGACCAGCCACAGAGTAGTTAAGTCTCAGGCAGTAGTGGTCTCTTGTATTCTTTGACTGTAACATCAGATAGTAGATTAGTTTAGCGGAAAGTGTGGCAGTATTCCGACTGACCAGCCACAGAGTAGTTAAGTCTCAGGCAGTAGTGGCCTCTTGTGTTCTTTGACTGTAACATCAGATAGTAGATTAGTTTAGCGGAAAGTGTGGCAGTATTCCGACTGACCAGCCACAGAGTAGTTAAGTCTCAGGCAGTAGTGGCCTCTTGTATTCTTTGACTGTAACATCAGATAGTAGTTTAGTTTAGCGGAAAGTGTGGCAGTATCCTGAATAAAATGGTAAAAAATTACAAGACTGTGCTGTAACAATCAATACAATAAATTAATGCAAGGGTAAAAAAATAGATTACAGTGATGTTATTACCAGTACTTTTTATACAGATCTGAGTTTTTGTGACGGTGGGTAGCCTCAGCATATTGAGGTACCCACTGTTACTTTGGGTGACGTAGGGCAGGAAAAATCTCAGCACTTGGTTACAAAACCCAACTTTATTGTTAGCCCACAAAACAATACCAAGAACATAAAAATAAATCAAACAAAAAGGAAAGAGTGGACTGTAACAATGATAATAACTTAGTATACAACTGAAACCCCAATTTGGAAACCCTTAAAATTGTCTAACCTGGACCCAAGGCCAAACGCTCCAGCTGCCCCAAAAGGACCCTGTCCTCCTGTCCTCCAGTACTCCACACTCCCACTACACACACAACTGTCCCCCTGATAAAGTGCACTGGCCTTCTTAAAACAACAGCCTTCAACAGGTCAGCACAACAAGCTATTGTATATCAACACTGCCAGCCTACTCGCACAACATTGCCAAACACGTCCTCTTCACAATATTTGACCCTCCTATTAGTTATTCGCTGTTCATTTACTTTTTAGAACAACATCAACAATAGTTTTTCGGTAAATAATATCTTCAGTAATAAGATACCTGCAATACTGAATTTGGTTATTTATAGTAAGTGCAAAATATCTTAAGGAATGTAATGAATCAAATTTGATGAGTTAAATCAATTGCAATGGAATTTTAAGACCAAACAGTTCCTTGCCGGTTACTCCACACAAAATTTATGCAATATGCTACATGCAATATTTATATGCTATATGCTATATTTATTCAATATGCATAATGCCTTTATCTAGGCTAAAATACTTTACATCTAATTTACAAATCTATTTCCAGCTAAGGCTGTAGGCTAATGATTGTTTTACCTTGAACAGCTGCATTGTAGATTGAGCTACGGAGAATGATAAATCGACAACTCCTAGTTCTATCAGGTTGAGATCTGGTAGAGGGACGTGGTGATATTTTGTCACTCTGTCAATCTGATCATCGTACCTAAAATCAATAGATACAAAGGAATAAGAACATTGTAAAAAATATTTTTGAGCATTGAAAACTTTAACATTACATGCAAATAATTATTAGGTAAATTCTATGTAATGAGTACATTCACTTTAAAAACTTTTTTCAAGTCATCATTAAAATTTTGAAAATAATTGTTCAGGGTGTCCGAAAAAGAATGCTGGAATTTTGGACGGCTATTTGATTGGGTAATATTTAAAATTATCAAACAAATTTGACGTCAAATTGAATATACTTTATACTTTTCACAGTGTCTAACCAGGCCAACCAGAAAAAGTTCATGAGTAATTATTCATGAGTAAAAAAAATTCCAAGTAGTACTTTTCATACTAAAATTTACAACATGTTTTGCGCCAACTTCCGCAATGCTGTTTTAGCGCTAACACAGCTTGCTATTTTAGTTATCGGAAAGAGCATTCTCAGTTAAAGAAACTTTATTAGTTAAGAAAATTTATGGTTACTGTAATATTGCCTGACACAATTATTCAATCTTTGTAAATTAGGCTACTAATTAAATAAACCGAAAATTAAAAAACCAATCCTTACACCTGCAATTTATCAACAACTTCTTTAAAATAGTGATATGTCGATACCAAAATTTGTCGAATCTCTATACAAACACCTGAAAAATAGATTGTTAATACAGAAGATTTCAATTTTACCACATTTTCTGTAAGGATTACTACACCAACCCCTGTCTTTATGTACTTTCATAAAGTATGTAATTTTGGAGTTATGGGTTGTTTTTCAAATGACCTACAGGAATAATTATTGCAGAAATTACAAAAATTTCACGTTGCCAATTTTAAACCCTTCCAAACACATTAAATAAATACCACGTTAAAGGTAAATGAAGATATTACAACAAATATAAAAATAAAACTTTCTAGAAGTGTGCCATTTTGAAATTTTTGGTCAAGCCAAACTCGAGGTTATATCGTAATCATCTAACACTGTCATAGAGACACCATCATTGTTTTCTGCTATAACTGAAAAATCCTGAATATCTCACTCAGTAACAGAAATATCACCACTGTCTTCTGTGGTCGTGACAAAATCCTTATATTGTTCAGCGGTAACGGAAAAGTTATAATCCGCTCCCAGGATCACAGTAAAGTTATCATCATCTTCCTCGATCATTGCTTAATTCAAACAATTTCCTGATGTCATCAACGTCATGCAATATTTTTGGACATTATCATCATTTCCCACCGTCACGGAAACGTCATCGTCTCCCACGGTCACGGAAACGTCATTGTCGTCACCCGCGGTCACGAAAACGTCATTGTCGTCATCGTCGTATCCCCGGTCATGGAAACGTTATCTTCATGCGTGATCGTGGCAAATTGAAAATTCCCGGTAAAATACAAAATTCACGCATAATTCCCAGTTTTCCCGGTTGATAGACATCCTGCTTTTATACAATATTTAAAAATTTAAAGAAATTTGGATTGTCATTGTCATCAATGACCGTAAAACTGGCTGGAGCGTAAAACTGGCAAAGTCTGAACACTTCAGCAATCAGCGGGTTAAATCTGATACCTTAACTAAATCGTTTAGGCACCAAGTCTCAATCTTTTACTAATATTTTAGTGTGTCGAATTATGTGTGTTTAACTTAAGACTTCGTCGGGCAATTGTATTTTTTTTTTTTTTTTTTTTGCTTTTGATGCAGGATTTGACTTTGTTGTTACTTTTTTTAGTCCGGCTAGGTGAATGCCCTTTCAAAAAATTTCTGTGTCACAAAATTGATTAAACCAGTGAGGAATCGCTTCATCATCGGGTGAGTATAAATAAATATAATTTAACAATCGATTTACATGCTGGGAACCACAGATATACTGTGCCTTCTGTTGTGTCAAACTCGTAGTATTGGCGACTGGCATCAGGCGTGTGAGTCACAAAGACAGCCTGATACTGCATACATGTTTTGCGTTTGCCAAGGTCAGGCTGTGGTTTCCTAGACGCGCAATAGATGCGCAGCGGTTTAGATGCGCTGCGGCTTTTATCCAGGCCCCAAAACGCAGCTGCCGTGAGTGGTTTCCTAGACTGCGTACAATACACACGGTTGGTGCGTAATATAAGTTCACGGGAGAGATTACTAGTGGCTACTATGATGTTATACGATGATTTAGATAATGAAATGTATACTTTGGTATTGACAGTTTCGAAGAAGCGTAAGCAGTGAAAAGTATATGATTAGGAACTGTACGTTGCCCTAGCGGAAGTTTTGACCGTAGTATTAAAGCAAAAATGTCAATTTAAAATGTAAACAATAAATTTTAATTAAACCTCTCCAACTTTGCTTTACCTGTTGCCTGTTACTATATTTTGGCCTACCTATTCGGAATTTACCGAATTGACGAAATAGTATATTATTTACGAGTATAACTGCAATAAGCATTTTATACTTATACGCCAACCCCATAAGAAGGACGGGTACTATGCTAGTAATTAATATAGGCTTAATTCTAAGACGTTCAGGGGTTCTCAAAACAATTATGGGGGCTATTTTATTTGGGAGATGGTGTTGTGCTGACTTGAGAAGAATATTTGTCAACATTAGGTTTATTTACAAATTAGAAATATGTGAGGACAAATTAACTGTAGGGAACATTTAATAAGGGAATTAAATATTAAAATTACACGTCATGGGAAAATTAACACTACATAACGAATGATATGGAATGTAATACTATAAAAATTTTAATTTTATGAACAACGTAGGCCTACTTCCATAATATGTTATTTCAATAGACAAATTCAATATATTTTGCGTTGTTGGTGGAGAATTTTGCCATCTGGACAACATTTACTTCCAAATCCATTGCACAAGAAATGTCTAAAACGCAGCGTAACTCAGATTTGACTGCTCTGAGAGCAGTCGGTGAAATACGCAGCTATTGGTGCGCACGTATTAGATGCGCGCGCATTAGATACGCAGCCTTGGGAACCGCTTACACGAAACTCCATAAGACAAGTGTGCTGCGTCTTAGATGCGCACACGCAGCGCATCTATTACGCGTCTAGGAAACCACAGCCTTAACGATTCCTCCCTTGTTACACAGAAAACAAAACTTATTTATTTTAGCTCCAATTTCACGTTTAAATAGTTAAAATCCCGCCATTCTTTTTTGGACACCATGTATATTACAGTACAGTGAAATTGAATGCAACAAAAGAGAGTTGTTTTGACATACTTGTGCTACATATGGAGTTCCGTCATGCCAAACGGAAATAGCATGCAATTCACGGTACAGTAGAGTCCCGCAAACTCGGCGTAATGTGGACTGGAAGAGTGCCGAGTTTGTGAAATTCTGGGTTATCGGGAACTAGGGTTAAAAATAAGAACATTACAAATTTTTAGCTTATTAACTGCCTCTTTTATTTATATTTATATTACAAGTTATTATTAAGTCATCAGATATAGTACAACAAATCCTTGGTACAAGCTGCGAATGATTAACTCGGACTAAAAATTAATAATTTTCTGAGCCTGGTGATGGCCGAGTTATCCAGACTGCCGGATTATCGAGTGCGGAGTTTGTGGGACTCTACTGTACTACTGACTACAGGCAGAATCAGATGATACAGAACGTTGGATAGCTGAAGATGAAATAGTTGAGGCTTTATGCGAGTGTTCTAGTTATAAAATTCACAGTAAGATAGTGTGTTACTCACTCTGCGACATAGTATGAGTCTCTGGTGAGGATCAAGATTGTGTCCATCTCAGTCTCACTGGGGTCTCCCGTCCTGCAATGTAACATGATCATAGCCACCAAACAATATTTCAGTGTTGGTATTTTTAATTTTATTCAATCCCAAACCAACAACTCTAGGTAATATAAGAATTGTATAGCCTGCAATTTTTAGGGATGGGCGAGTACTGACGGTCCAGTAATTACTCTAGTTTTTACGAGTAGGCCTACTCAAGGTTGAATCGAGTATTCATACTATACGCATTGTCAAACTATCTAATTGCATTCTTGTACCCTGTCTATTGTTTGTTAGTTGTATAGGTAAATTGTTTTTGTTTATAGAGTTGTGCAGATGGTAAAATTTCATTTCCGATTGAAGAGTTAAGGCTCGGATGGGATCAGATATTCAACCATTTACCTTTACTCTAAGCAGGCTAGATACTGAGTTATTTGGAAGCGGGGGGTTTGTTTTTTTGTGCCATTATCAAAAACATTTAGAGCTTCTATCACTTCTCAAGATGGCCGACCGTGCCTCAGTTGTTAAGATTTTAGTTGTATAGGCGAGCTCCATATATTGGTCTTATATGATCGTTGGAGCAGACAGATGTAAAAAGAGCAGACAATTTTTAGTGCATGCGTGACGTCACCTTGGCGCTCTTGACATTACTTTGTTCTATGTCATTTTGATCAAATGAACTGTATTGTTTCAATAACGATATTGCGTAAATCTACCTCAAATCAATAATGGGCCAAAATCGTTCACAAAGAACTTTTACATAGTAGCATTAAGAAATACAATTTGAAAAAACTAAATCGGCATTTTTCTCAAAAAGCGAAGTGGAGCACTCAAACTTGTTTATACAGATACTAAAACTAGTAGTTCGCTGTTTTCCGCACTGTAGGTTTAAACGTTTGCACCAAATTTCATCGAAATGGGATCATTTTTGCTCAAGTTATTGTGCTAACGGATATATATGAATTTGAATGGATGGTGTATTTGGCTTCTAGGGACATCAAAATGAAAAAGTAAATCGGTCCCGGGTCCAAGTCTTACTATGAAACCTACGGTAATAGCTTATTCCCTATATGGGAAATTCACTAAAAATAAAATAATTTCACAGGAATTTAAAAAAAGATTATTTAATGAAGCCATAACTCATAAAATAATTGAGAAAGAAATATGAGCATGCACAATAAGTTTGTACTTTTCTTGCTCTTTAAAATGAGATATCAAACAATAAAATTGGTTAAGTAGTTAACAATTTGTAAGAGATTTTAAAAACCCACATTTTTCCCCTCAAAAAAGCTAAAAAACTCAAAAAAATATGTAAAACAATATTTTTAGCGAATTTCCCATATAGGGAATAAGCTATTACCGTAGTACCTAACCGCAAAAAAACCGCCGCTATTACCGTAGGGTAAGACCTGGACCCGGGACCAATTTACTTTTTCGTTTTGAGGTCCTTAGAGGCCAAAAACACCATCCGTTCAAATTCATATACATATATATATATATAACTCAAGAAATAATCCAATTTTGATGGTATAAACGTGTAAACCTACATTTATTCAAACGAGTTCGCGAACCACCATGATCGGACTATGGGAACGAGGGTTTATGGGGGGTTTTATGGGGTAAAAATAGGTTTTTCCCATTTTTGACCCTAAAAACACAAAATTTCACAATTTCTTTCCAAACCATTTTGTAGAGCTTAAAAAAACAAATAATTTAGTATATTGAAGTGTTATTGTGCGCCTAATGGTTACGGAGAAAATTCCAAAAAATTGAAAGTTTAAAATTCCCATGTTATTCTTATGGGGAATAAATCAACTGTTGTAGTTTGCTTGTTAATGAACATATTTTGATAGAATTTGGAAAATACATTAATTTTTTTCTAAACTATTAACATTTTACAACAAAAAACATTTTTTTACCCTCCCTGTTGCAGCAAACCTAAGTACTTGTTATACTAATTCTATTTAAATAGGGAATAAATGTGATATATTTTAGTGTAAATCCAATCAGGCAAATGGAAATTCGCTCAGTTTGCAGGTTTGCTGCGGCGGGGGTATTTTACTTTAACAGCGGTAAACATTTTAGAATTTGTTGTTGAACTTGTTCCTCATGAAACAAGCATCAGAACCGGCTTCCGATTTTACAATAGTATGAGAAGTCTACTTGTACTAAAGTCAATAATAAATCTGTGTGTTTATAATAATGGCCTATTTAAATCAATATTGATTTTATTTGCTAGTCAATTGAAACAGCTGATTGAAATAGTCTTGTTTTAATTCCCATTTACGTGTATCAATATTATTTGTTTCGATCATAAAATTATAAAGGTTGAAATCAGGGCACCCAAACATTGCCAATCATACTTAAACTATCTTCAAAACAACAAGTTTCTAATTCCCAAAAGCTTTACTTATAAACATTGACTCATCCACGATTCTGAATCAACCACTCGACGGATTTTCATGATTTTTGTGTTGAAAGAAAGATAATTTTGAGAACTAGGGAATGTCGAAGCCATAATTTTAGTTTATGGTCCCAGTTTTTTAGAAATTAAGTTTTAATTTTTAAAAAGTCTAGCAGCCGACGCTAAGATTCTAAACTAGCTTTTGGCATAAAATAATTTGCTTAACATAACAGCTGTAAACATTCAGCTTTTGTGTCACAAATTCAGCATTTGGATAAAAATGTAAAGACATACTAGGGTTGACTTATTTATACTATGTGTAATGCTAATCATTGATGCGTTCAATTCTTCTGTAAGAGGATGACAGATTAATTAAATATGCATAGTAAAATACTAGGATGTTCAAATTATTTTTTAAAGCAATCTTTATAATCTTCGGTTTGTTTTAGAGCAATATAATTTGTTTTAACTAACAGCTGGTTAAATATAAACTATGGAACTATGAGGTTATTTTATTTACAGTTTAAACCACAGTTTTAACCAAAATTAATTAAACCACAGTACAAATCGAGGCTCTTTACACAAGTCTTAATAAAAAAGGATAAATGCAAATTATTTTACTGCTCGACTTTTCAAGGAAAGATTAGAAAAATAACAATGTTTACATGTCTTAATTCTTAATGGTAGCTTTTTGTTTACAATTAATGTTTGTCTGCTTTAACTTTGTTTGGATTAGGCCCGGAAATATTGATGTCATAAAAAGAAGATAAAGAATAATCAGGAATCACGATTTTAAATTACCACCACAACCTCAGCCGGGTTTTATACAAAGATGAACAGATGGATGACATAGATTGAACACAACGTCAACATTGACCTAGGATACTGCAATTAGACAAACCATCCTTTTGTAAAATCGTGTTCAGTTGTGGTTACGTTTAGGGGCGCCTATATCAGCGCCCCCAAACGTGAAAATATCACTATTATTTCAACTATGAATATATTGTAGTTTAAATTAACTAATATGGGAAATTACAATGTACGTTTATTCAATGAGGGTGAGTAATTATCAAAGATAGAACTGATAACGGTATAGATAATAAACATCGACAATTACGTCATTAGCTTTACTAGCGTGTTAACTTTTTATATTCCTGCTACATGTGACCAGTTCTTTTTTTCAAATGAATGTTATTTGAAGCAAACAGCTGTTTCAAAACAAACTGTTATTGTTTTTACTTTTCTTTGTTTACACTTATTTATTTAGCAATTAATGCAGTGAAATTGATATAAAGAATAGGTGTGACAATTAGTTTTGATGTTAGGACACCAAAGTTAAATTATGTGTACTGTGAATTTTATTGGATATTATCGTTTTATTTTCGGTCGTTTCTATTCAGACCTACTGGAAATTGTGAATAGTAGTTGTATTTTGGTGATAATAATTATGGAAGAGGCAGGTATGCTATGGAAGGTGGTATCGTTGACTAGGTCTATACACTTCTCAATTGACTATTACTCTCTCTACCGTAGGCTACGGGTACACTTCCATATCCGTTGGCACAAACAACCGAATGAAAATATTGATTGATATATCGTTTGGTTAGTAAGGTAAGGTTAACCTAACGAAACGATATATTGAAAACGAAAAGTATTCCCTACAGGGAAATATGCTAAAAACAATTTAAAGTTTACTTATGGCAATTTTATGTAAGCAAATACAAATATTTTGAAAAAATATTAATTTTTCTACTATTCCCTACCTGTGAGGGTATGGGAATCTAAATTATAGTTCGGCCGCTTAGAAAGCGACCTCCTCCAGCATTGGTTTAGCATTAGCACGCAGGTCGTTTTCTAAGCGGCCGAACTATAGTGCTATTTTGTCACCAATAGTTTAACATATAAAAATTTTTATAACTAACTTCGTTCCACCCTTTATAATATTTAAATTTGTTCTCAAAATTTTATATTCATTGAATGATTTGATAATTATACGTAATACTGGCAGCAATGTACTTATTTTTTGAGAAGTATAAAAAATAGTGTAAACATATCCTAAATACATTTTAATATATATATATAAAGCATTTGATATGCATTATCATTTAAATATTATTTTCAGCTATAAAACAACATAAAAAATTGTGTAATTTTTTCAGGCAGGTATATGCACCTACATTTTTGAGAGTATCAAAATTAGTGTAAACATATATATCCTAAATACGTATAAATATACATATAATAATTTAGTATATTGAAGCGCTGTTGTATGCCTAATGTCACAGAGAAAATTTAAAAAAAGTGTAATTTAAAATTCCCATGTTATTCTTATGGACAAAATGGAAACTGTTGTAATTTAATTGTTTATGATGATAAAATTTGGCAAATGTATTTATTTCATCCTATAATATTGACGTATGGTAAAAAACACTTTTTACCTACCCCGTAGCAGCAAACCTAAGCACAAATGTAATGTTATTTAAATTGGGAATAAATATGTCTAATCTATGAAAATATTTTAGTAAAAACATAATCAGACCAGTTGAAATTCGCTTCGTCTGCAGGTTTGCTGCGGCGGGGGTATTTTACTTTAACAGCGGTAAACATTTTAGAATTTGGAAAATACATTAATTTT